CCACAAGCAGTTATCACCACACCCCCCCAAGGCAGCTGCTGTCAGAAGCCAGAAAATCTCAAGCACTGGGGAGAACGTGAGCGAGCTGGAGCCCTCCTCGAAGAACTGACACTGGAATCCCTGTGACCCGCTTGGGCAGAGCTTCCCAGAGGTGCCTGCACACTGCTGCGCTCAGCAGATTTGCTCACGGAGCAGGAGGTGGGCGCAGCCAGGGGCCGCAGGCGGCTGCACGCACGAGCCCAGTGCAATCCGTGCCTGCCGTGCACTATTACAGTCCCGAGAGGCAGGAAATCCTGCCGCGTGCCGCCCTGCGGAGGAACCTCGAGGACAAAGCGCTGAGCAGAGTAAGCCAGGCACAAAACGCTGACAGACATCGCACTGCTGAGCCCGCTCGGGTGAGGTATCTAATGTTCCGTGAAGAGAAACAGAAAGTAGACTGTGTTGGCCAGAGGCAGGTGCCACGGAGAAAAGGCAGTTGTGTCGTGGGGCAGGTGCCACGGAGAAAAGGCAGTTGTGTCGTGGTGGTAGAACTCCACTTTTGCAAGCTTGAAGTTTCCTGGAGACCTGTTTCGCGGTAACTCAGTAACAGATGGGCGCCCAGACAGGGCGAGGAAGGGACTTGTATGTGCGTTACCACGCTACAGACTTCTGTGTGTGTTATATTTAAAAAGGCATGAAAAATAAGACACCTTTGACATGTAATCTTTTCATTATGGTAAGATACACATGGCATAAACCTACCAGTTGAGCACCTTTTAAGTCTGTGGTTTGGTGACATTAGTGTGTTCATAGTGCCTGCCGTGCCACCATGCTGGTCCCGCCACCCCTGGGGCCACGTGGCCCTTCACTCACTGAAGAGACAGTAAGACAGCTACACGGAGGGAGCCGCGTGTCTTGTGGGAACACAGAGTGATGAGGCCCATGGGGTCCCAGAGCAGAGGCAGGCGAGGACCCAGCAGAGTGGGGTTTCCTGGGATGCTCCGCAAGGTGGACTGGGCTCAGTGTGTGATCCACAGCGACAGCCACCAAGCAGGACCGCAAGGCCAGCAGCGTCCACAAGCCTCCAGCTGTGACCATGAGGGAGCCCTTGCATAGAGCTTCAGTGGACTCCCTGCTGGGAGGCCACGTTTCCAACCCCACAGTGACCTCGGCCAGTCTTGGACACACAGGTATCTGCCCATGGGATGCTCAGCTGGGGTCAGGATGCCACTGTGACCCAGATGTGAGCAGCACCCTGCTCAGGGAAAGGGAGGGAGAGGCTGGGTTGCAGCCCAAGGTCCTCACATGGGGCGCAGGGCCGACCCTGCAGCCCAGGCCACGCAGTCTCCGCCCGCCCAGGCTGGCTCCTGTCCACTCCCACAGGACGTGGTGCTGCCCCTGAGATGACTGCACCCTTCAAGGTCCCGCAGAAGTAGTGTACAGTTGTGAACATAAGTGTGAGGGGCCGGGGAGATAGCTCAGGAGAGTAAGCACTTGTCTGGCAAGCACAAGGGCCTGAGTTCAATCCCTGGTTCAACAACAACAACAAAAAAAAAAAATGTGAGCTTATACTCGACTCCAGCATCCTGTGTCTGCCGTTTCCTTTTGTAGCTTCCAATTCTTTCATGCAGCAATCAGAGCTGCCAGCTTCCATGTAGCTCTTTATATGAGCAACCTCATGTATCAATAAGTCAAGGAGCAAAGTAAAAGCTAAGTGCAGCGCTTGGGAGGCTGAAGCAGGAGGACCGCTGCATTCAAGACCAGCCTGGGCTACGCAGTGAGACCCCAGCAGCCTAGACTACCTAGCGAGCCGCCGTCTCAAAAACTGAAAAATCTAAATAAAATAGAAGTGGTGACTTGTGGAGTCGGCGTTTGCAGCTGTGGAGGGCTTGGTGAGATGCCTCACACTACTTTGCTGGTGCAGCCTACTAAGAGGCCAGAAGGCAGAACTTACGCTATGAATCTGTTAATGAATGCGTGGAAGGTGTTTGTAAAATGTATGGAGAACATCTGAAGAGAATGAACCCCAACAGCCCCTCTATCACATGTGATATCAGTCAGTTGTTTGATTTTATTAACGATCTGGCAGACCTCAGTTGCCTTGTTTACCGAGCTGGTACCCAGACATACCTGCCTTAGAACAAAGACTGGATCAAAGAGAAGATCTTGGGGGCCGAGGAGATGGCTCAGTGGAATAAGCGCTTCCCTGGCACGCGCAAGGGCCTGAGTTCAATCCCTGGTTCCGGAAAAAAAAAAAAAAAAAAGAGGGCTTGGTACTGGTGTCCCAATGGTGGAAAGTGACAATGTGGAGGGCGTCGCAGACGGACACAGATGGACAGACAGACGACCCTAAGGTTCCCAGGGAGCCGCCTGCGTCCATTTCTCGGCAGAGGATGGGCCAGACCCAGATGGCGGTGCAGAGCCCAGGTGCTGGCGCTCAGGCGGCTCCGGGGCAGCCGCGGCTTCCTCATGAGGTGGATCCAGGTGGCCAGAGCCCAGCGTGCAGGTCAGGGACCTCCAGGACCCCTCTGGGACCTCTGCTAGGGACCCCACCCGCGGCCAGGGTCAGTGACCAACTGCCGGCTCAGCGGAGCGGGGCACTGAGCTCAGCTCTTACGGTAGGAGTGGGCTTTCGGCCTGCTTCTAGATAACTGCTCTGTTTGTTCCTTTGGTTTGTTTTCTTTGCCTTTTTAAGATTGGGTCTTCTTACGCAGTCCGTGCGGGCCTTGAGCCCCACTATCGCAGGCTGTGCTGGAACTCAGGGATAGTGCTGCCTCAGCCTTCTGAGCTGGGATCACAGCGGTGCACCATGTCAGGCTGGATAATAATTCCTGGGAATTGGACTCAGGGTCTCACACTTGCCAGGCAGGTGCAGTGCCACTGAGCTACATCCCTGGTCCAGTGATAATTCTTATTTTTTATTTATGTATTTATGTATTTATTTAGTAGAGGATCTACAGGGTCTCATTACATAGATCAGACTTGTAGCGATTCTCCTGTTTTCAGCCTCCCAAGCAAGATTACAGGCGCCAGTCTCCATTGCCAATTCAACGAGCCCCGGGTGCAGAGCCTGCCCAGTTTGTGGGGCTGGGGATCAAACCCTGGCCCCTGTGTTCTGCCTAAACAGGCACTTTAGTCCTCTGAGCTATTAGGCCAGCCCCAACCCAGTGATAATTCTTCTTTGTTTGGTTTTTTGTTTTCTTTTTGTTGTTGTTGTTGTTTTGTTTTGTTTTGTCTTGAGGAACCTGGGATTGAACTCAGGCCCTTGCACTTGCCAGGGAAGTGCTTATTCCACTGAGCCATCTCCCCAACCCCCTTCTTTGTTTTTTTGCTTTGCTTTGTTTTTTTTTTGCGGTACCGGGCAATGAACTCAGGACCTTGTGCTTGCCAGGCAAGCATTTATTCTACTGAGCTATCTCCCCAGCCCCCAGTGATATTTCATGATTGTTTATCATTAACTTGAAAAAAGTGCCAGAGAAAATAAAGTTATATAAACTAATGCTGCTATAAATTAATAATATTTTCCCAAAGAGCACATTCCCTTCTGCCCTATTTTGCGCACATACTGGGGCTCTACAATTTGAGCAGCTCCCTTCATGGCCCAGTTCAAGTGCATACCAAGTTCCCATTTAAATTTCATCTACATTTAGAACTTTTGTTTATTTATTTATTTATTTTATTTTTGGCAGAACCAGGATTGAACTCAGACCCTTGCACTTGCCAGGCAAGTGCTTATTCTACTGAGCCATTTCCCTGGCCCCACTTTTGTTTATTAAAGGGAACTTCTGGTGGGCTGACAAGATAGATAGTTCAGCAGACTAAAGCGCCTGCTTAGGCAAGCCTAGGCGAGCACGGGGACCCCAGTTCATTCCCGACACCGCATGCCGGGTGTGGTGGCACATGCCTGTAATCCCAGGCATGAAAAACAGGTTGCAACAGGAGGATCACTACGAGTCCAAGCTGCATAGTGAGACCCTGTAACAACCAAATACATTTTTAGGAGGAGGAGGAGGAGGAGGAGGAGGAGGATTACTTCTGTATAATCTAACCTTCTCAATTCCTTTACTGCATTTATATACACTCCATGAGAAGCATTTTAAGCTTTCAGAAGAAAGTTAAAATGTGATGCTTGTGAAAGCCAATTAGAGCTCCTAATAATTTCTGCTTAACAAATGCTGTCTCCCCTTTCTACTTTTTAGATTGTATCAACTTTATATTTAAGAACTTATGCTTTCTCATTTCGGGTCATACAGACAATCGGCTCTGCAAATTGGTGTTGCTTTTCTGTGTCTTCAGACTATGTTAGCAGAAGTGTAGATGCTCAGAATCTGCCTTCCTTGGAGAGAACCCAGAAGCACTGTACTTCTGCTCTGAGATACACTGATAATACTGCACATCAGCAGTTCATGAGCTCCCTTTTGTGTAGAATCCCAGCTGCTCAGGAGGCCGAGGCAGAAGGAGCACAAGTCTGAGGCCAGGCTCAGCCACTCAATGAGACCCTGGCTCAAAATAATGAAATATGCAGGGGCTGGGGGTTCGATCCCGGCCCCGCCCCCAGGACACGCTGAGACCGCGACTGAGACTGGGCGCGGTGGCGCGCGCCTGTAAGCTCAGCACTTGGGAAACTGTAAACAGGAGAATCAGCAGGAGTC